ACAGTCCTGTACAGAGCCCGTAGGCCGCAGATTGGAGGGAAAAAGTTTTTTAAAAATCTGTCCAGAGGAAAGGAAAGACGTTCTATTTTGTAGCCTGAGAGAATGATTTCATGTGACCCACTTTTCAGGGATGAGAGAGGATCATAGGCCCGGAAACCAGCCAAGGCGACGCCCCACCCTGGAAATAGGCAGGGTCAACCTTCATGCTGAGGAAGACTTTTCTGCAGGTTTGGAGGGCTTCTGGGGCCAGGGCGCTTGATATCATCCACGGTAGCCTCAAACAGACTGTCTCCCTGAAAGGGCAGGTCCACAAGGGCCCTATTAGAAGTCTGGCCAGCCAACTAACACTTGATCCAAAGAACCCGTCACTGCACCGCCACCAAAATGAAAAGTTTGGAGAGAAGTGGGGGCTGTCAAGGGATGCGTCACAAACATACTTTAGGCCCTGGACCAACTGATCTGCCAGCTCCACACATGCTCGAGAGAGATGGGGGAGAGAGAGAGAGCGCGAAAGAGAAAAAGATGGGGGGGAGTGAGCGAGAGAAGGGGGAGAGAGAGAGCGAGAGAAGGGGGAGAGAGAGCGATAGAGAGAGAGGGGAAGAGAGAGCGAGAGAGCGAAGGGGGAGAGAGGGGAAGAGAGCGAGAGGGAGAGGGAGAGAGAGGAGAGGAGAGAGCGAGAGAAGGAGAGGAGAGAGAGCGAGAGGAAGGGGGAGAGGGGGAGAGAGAGGGATAGAGCGAGGCACGAGAGCGAGAGAGCGAGAGAGGAGAGAGAGGAGAGAGGAGAGCGAGCGCGCGAGCGAGGAGAGGGAGAGCGCGCGAGCGCAGGAGAGGGAGAGCGCGCGAGCGAGAGAGGAGAGAGCGAGCGCAGGAGAGGGAGAGCGAACAAGCGAGCGAGGAGAGGGAGGCGAGAGCGAGCGAGAGAGAGGAGAGAGGGAGAGAAGGGGGAGAGAGCGCGCGAGAGAGAGGAGAGAGCGAGCGCGAGAGAGGAGAGAGAGCGAGCGCGAGAGAGGAGAGAGCGAGCGAGCGAGAGAGGAGAGCGCGCGAGCGCGAGAGAGAGAGAGAGAGCGAGCGCGAGAGAGAGAGAGCGAGCGCGAGAGAGGAGAGAGCGAGCGCGAGAGAGGAGAGAGCGAGCGCGAGAGAAAAGGAGAGCGAGCGAGCGAGCGAGAGGAGAGCGAGCGCGAGAGAATGGGAGAGAGAGGGGAGAGAGAGAGAAGGGGGAGAGAGCGCGAAAGAGAAAAAGAGAGAGATGAAGGGGGAGTGAGCGAGAGAAGGGGGAGAGAGAGCGATAGAAGGGGGAGAGAGAGAGGGGATAGAGCGAGAGAGAGGGGGGAGAGCACGAGAGAGTGAGAGAGGGGGAGAGCGCTGCGAGCGAGGAGAGGGAGAGCGAGCGCGAGCGCAGGAGAGGGAGAGCGCGCGAGCGGGAGAGAGCGAGCGCGAGAGAGAAAAGGAGAGAGAACAAGCGCGAGGGGGAGAGCGAGGAGAGCGAGCGAGAGGAGGAGAGAGAGCGAGCGCGAGAGAATGGAGAGAGAAGGAGAGAGAGAAGGGGGGAGAGAGAGAGGGGGGGAGAGAGAGAGGGGGGGGAGAGAGAGAGGGGGGAGGAGAGAGAGAAGGGGGGGAGAGAGAAGGGGGGGAGAGAGAAGGGGGGGAGAGAGAAGGGGGGGGATGAGAGGGTGAGAGGGAGAGAGAGAGGGGGAGGAGAGAGGGATAGAGGGCGGCGCGAGAGAGGAGGAGGGGGAGAGAGAGAGGGGGGGGAGAGAGAGAGAGGGGGAGAGAGAGAGAGAGGGGGGAGAGAGAGAGGGGGGAGAGAGAGAGAGGGGGGGGAGAGAGAGAGAGAGAGGGGGAGAGAGAGAGAGAAGGGGAGAGAGAGAGAGAGAAGGGGAGAGAGAAGGGGAGAGAGAGAGAAGGGGGGGGGGGAGAGAGAGAGAGAGAGAGAGGGGAGATTCTGGCTTAAATGTTTGATAGCATTATCACCCCAATGTCCTTATTTATGGCAGTGAAGTTTGGGGTCGGGGTCCTGTCACCTACCCAGACCAATCGAAATTGACTCCAACCCGCCAGAAATATTTCACCTGGAATTCCATAAGCACCTCCTCCAAGTCCATCGGAACACCTCCAACAGTGCTTGCCGGTCTGAGTTGGGCAGATTTCCTTTGCTTCTCGCAGTACAGAAGAGGGCGCTATCATACTGGGGCCATCAACAAAACAGCAGTCCTAACATACCACCATAAGGCTATACTGACCAATAAGGACCAGTTAAAGCCATGTGGCCTGCAACAACTCATTAGGCCTTGTGTATCCAAAACGCCCAACAATCTGGCCTGACAAAATCTCAAAATAAAAAAACATAATGAATGATTCCCAAGAAAAATATGTTGAGAAATTAAATAGCAAACTCAAAGAAACTGTTTACCAGTCACTGCAGAGAGACTACAAACTGGCCACATACTTGGAGGTGCTACAAGATCCCAAAGACAGACAGACTCTGAGCCGGTACAGACTGAGTGCCCATGGCCTGGAAATCGAATCAGGATGGCACAGACAGACCTACAAGGCCAGGGAGAGTAGACTGTGCCAGCAATGTGACCAGGGGGACCTGGAGGAGAGGATCATTTCCTGCTACAGTGCCCCAAGTACTTATCAGTGAGGGACACTCACTTCCAGAGACTCTCCACTCTCATCCCAGACTTCACTTCTATAGAACAGAAGAGGAAACTCACTCAAAGAGTGAAAATAACTGTGGGGAAATTACCACAACGTGTGGGTAAGGCTCCCATGACAGATCCTCCTCTCCACCAAAATGGGAGGGCTGTCGGCCAGGGTAAGGCTAGGACACTGACTATAGGTGTCTGGCCACGTGTCCCCACAAGATGTTTAATTCACTATCCACCCCTGCCCAAGTTAGGCCATGTTGTGGCTGAGCACTAAGCTAGTGGTCTGCGCATGCTCACAGGTTGGACTAGGGTGACCACCGGGTCTAGATTTTCTAGGAGGTGCTGAGCCCCCCCCCACTTACTGTCCTACTCCTGTAGGCAGGGCTATAAAACACAGTTTGGTCATGGATAAAGAAGAGAGGCTATGTCCGTCAATGATTGTAAGACAAATGAGTTTAAAAAAAAAAAAAAAAATGCTTCTACGATTGGAAGCACAGTGATGTCTTACACCTCCTGTAATTTACTTTTTAGGCAATCTGTGTTACGCAGGTGGGGGCAGTTTTCATGGCAGATTTAAAAGTTAAATAAATTCCTAGACACCACAGTATACATCAGGGATGATACGCTTCACACCTCAATAAACAGGAAACCCACTGACAGATGCAACTACCTCCACAGTTCTAGCTTCCACCCCAACACACGAAACGTGCCATCATACACAGTCAGGCCATTAGATACCACCGAATATGTTCTGACCCAAGAGACAGATAAACATCTTGGGACACTAGCAGACTCCTTCCATAAGAAAGGTTACAAGGACAAAACTATCAACACCGGCATAAACACAGCCTTGAGAACCTGAAGAGAAAATCTACTTCAGTACAAAGAGAAAAAAAAACAAACAACCGTGTACTTCTAGTAACCACATACAACCCAGCACTAGAAGGAATAAGAAAAATAATCAAAGAGTTACAACCCATCATAACAGAGGATGGGACTCAAAGAAATATTCCAGCAACCCCCAATACTGGCCTTCAGACAACCCCCCAACCTCAGAAACAAACTAATCAGTAGGAAACTTCCTTCTGATCAAGATGTCACAAATAATGGAAGCACACCCTGCAATAAAAAACCGCTGCAAACTGTGCAACCAAATCAATCCATCAAAAAGTGTCAGACACTCAAAAGGGATCTTCAATATCTCCGGATCATACAGCTGCACCTCCAGTAATGTTGTGTACCTTATCCAGTGCAGAAAGTGTAGCAAAGGATCTTATGTTGGCGAAACAGGACAAAAGTTGCAAACAAGGATGAATTTGCACAGACATACCATCAAGGAACATAAAGAAGATGACTTTTGCACACCTGTGGGACACCATTTCGCACAACCAGACCACACAATTGGAGACTTCAATATTTTAGTTCTTAAAAGGAAGTTTCAAATCCATTCAGGAAAGAAAAACTTTTGAACTAAGAATGATAATTCTATTTCACACAAGAGATAACAGACTGAATTAGGACATGGGATTCCTCAATCATTATCCAACAGTTGTATGACTATCACCTCAAGCATGACTCCCTCTGTGAGTGTGGTCCCCCCCCCCCCCAGTCTTTGCTTTTGCTGTGTCTTATCTCGTCTATTTTTTTTTCTTTTCTTTTTCATCCCCCACATCTCTTCTAACATTGCTAAAACTTTGTGATTAGTACTGCTTGGACCTTGAAGAGGGGGCCACTCCCTGAAAGCTTGTCCTCAAAATTGTATGTTACTGCAAATAAAAAAAAAGTATCACGGACAGTACTTAATTGTTAAAAGTTAAATAAAAAAAAAAAAAACTCAAAATACAATTTCAAACTTTTATTTCTTACTAGCATGTTTCCCATTCTCTGACAATTCATGACTATGATTTCATCACTTTTATAAAATTTCTAGGATTTCTAGTTGAGCATTAACATACTGTTGACCAGTTCTGTGTATATTCATTTGGGTGGGTTTCACTCATCGGTATCGATCCAGAGAGGGAAAAAAAAAAATAAAAAAATAAAAGGGAGGGCTCTTAAATTGAAACAGTCTGTTTAATTAGAGTTTGTACGTTTATTACTGCCTTTGTTTCTATGAAAGAGTATGGACTTCAAGTTTATGAAGCTCAGCCTCCACACGCAAAAAAAAAAGCAAAAACAAAAAATATGGGTTAAGAAATCCTTCTAATAAAAACAATTAATGAAGTGGATCTTGAATAAATGGCAATTATTCCCATTCACTGCATTACTTAAGTCCAAACATTCAGTTTGCTTTTAGCTGGCACACAGGCTGTGGTTTGACTGGCGTTCCTCTGAAGGATGGCACTTGTTTTAAAGAATGACACACTTCCTTTTGGAGGATTTCTTCTTCTTTCCATTGTTGATCTTTTCTTTGTGTTTGCGGATTTCACGGACGAGGGTGTAGAACGCATCTTCAACTCCCTTTGTGTCAAGATGATTCCAGGAGGATACAAGGAGGGGTGGAGTAAAAAAAAAAAAAAAGTCAGTTAACAGGAAAATGAATTGGAATTTTCCCCTCCAGATAAAGTCGTTTGCTGCTAAAACAGGATGAGAAAGACATTTTGCTTACATGATCCCTTCCCCTTTTATATAAACACTTGAATTTACTGCCTTCGAACAATGGGACTGTCATTTCTGTCTGCCCCTGACATTTTTGATCTGGTGTGTCACGCAAAGTTTAAAAAAGGACTTTCACTTAAGCATTTAAAAAAAAAATAAATATTTTTTTTTCTTCCAATAGTAAAGTGTTTCCCAACTCTGTCCTTAAATCCCACCAACAGTACATAGTAAAGCAACCTCACATATACTCTGGTGCAATGATCAGTGTCCCAACCACTAAACCTGAAATTTGGTTTACTATGACTGTTGACATGACAGCTGAAGTCCAGCTTGTACAGGGAGTGTCTTATTTGTCATTGTATTAATAACAGAAGTAGGAGGTACTTAAAAGCACAAAACGACTCCCCCCAACCCCATACATAATCCTGAGCCTTCACATACTACTAGTCATGTTTCCCATCCCCTATGCAACAGGATTCAGGCCTGGTGTTTGGCCACTTAGACATGGATTTCTGCATTGCTGAAGGGCAGTAGGAACATTAATATACAGTGGGGCAAAAGTATTTAGTCAGCCACCAATTGTGCAAGTTCTCCCACTTAGTCCGTGTTGCCCAGCGACAGCCCCAAAACATCACTGCTCTAGAGGAGATCTGCATGGAGAATTGGGCCAACATACCAGCAACAGTGTGTGCCAACCTTGTGAAGACTTAGAGGAAACGTTTGACCTCTGTCATTGCCAACAAAGGATATATAACAAAGTATTGAGATGAACTTTTGATATTGACCAAATACTTATTTTCCACCATAATTTGCAAATAAATTCTTTCCAAATCAGCCAATGTGATTGTCTGTATTGTTTTTCTCATTTTGTCTCTCATAGTTGAGGTCTACCTATGATGCCAATTACAGGCCTCTCATCTTTTTAAGTGGGAGAACTTGCACAATTGGTGGCTGACTAAATACTTTTTTTGCCCCACTGTATGCCCCATACCCACAGTTTTAAAATCATTAAAAACACTGTTCAAAAAAAAAAAAAAAAGACAGCAGGCAACAGCAGTAAAGTTATTACTTCCACTGCCTGTAACTCTGAGGGATTTGCTGACTGTTTTTAACCATGTGCAAAATTTAGGGAAAGTGGAAAATCACTAGAACCAGTTGGATCCCGATCTCTGCTGCAAGAGTGCAGACAATGGGTCCTGTGCAACTGGTATATCTCATAATATATAACTGACTCTGATCCCCTTTTCTCCACGCTTTTGCAATCCAATTCCATTCATATGTAATTTTTCCCCCTTTGTGCATCTAGTATTTTTTTTTTTGCATCGAAATTTGAAGAAACACATTTGAAGAAACTCCTTTATATAAAATTCATGTTTTTTTTTTACCAGAATCCTAAATATCCTATCCTCATATATAGGGATAAATCACTAGAAACATGAATTTTACCTACGTCAGTTGTTTTAAAACTAATAATGCCCAAAGGATAACAACTATTTCCTCATTCTGTTGCTTTTTTGTCTACATATTGGATACAAATAAACGTTTTATTGCAAGACAATATCCCCCCAAATATACAGTATAAAAAAAAAAGTATACTACATTTAATTCCCCTCCCCCCCCCAAAATTTAATTTTACTTAAATTTTACTTTTGCATCATAATTTACTGCAGAGTCAAAATATAAACAAACTAAAACACTCTGGTCCATTAGAGGTTCAATACAATTTTTAATTAGAGGCAACTGTTTATAATGCTCAGGTTGAATCATACCATTTTGTAATGTAATTTCAAAAAAAAAAGGTTAAGGTCTTACAGCTGCCCTGGAATGTTACCAAACAGACAATCTTAACCTTTTTATTTTTCCTTTCTTACTCCCGAGGAACCCTAGAAATAATTTAATGTCTTTGGGAACCCCCACCAAAAAAAAAAAAAAAAAAAAAAAAAAAAAAAAAAAAAAAGGATTTGCACTTACAGCTCACAGTAAATGAGCCTGATCAATAGGTTGTACAATATGGAACATGATGTACCTACAGTATAGCATCCGACGCTCAGATCATTCGGTTAAGCCACTCCCCCTCGAGAGAGAGAGAGACAGAGCGCGCGTGTGTATTTACACACACAATGAGAAGTGGTTATTTCAGGATCATGGCTGCAGTTATGATCCTGGCATGAAAATTTTCAGCCGGTGATCGGTTTTGCGGTAAAAAGAGATCCAAGTGGCTCTGCAGCTGCTGGATCATTTTGCAGGGCTTGGTGGTCAATGCCGGCAGAAGATCAATTCACCATTGCTAAAGGAACCCCTGTCACTCTGAGGAGGAACCCTGGTTGATAAATGCTGCACAAAAGGGAACAGGAGTGTGATTGGCAGGCAGCCATCTAATGACATTAAAAAATATATATTCAATGTACCAAGGAGTATTTTTTTTTTTTTTATTATAACTGAAACAGATAAAGAACATTATGGGTTAAGATTGACAGAATTTACATCATTGTTATTTCCCTAGCAAAGTATGCCCATTTTTTGATTATTTCCAAATGGGGTTTTTTTTTTTTTTTTAAAGTGCAAGTACATTTGGTATGTGGGAATGTTAGTTTTCAGTGCAAATTTGTTTTTTGTTGAATAAGCCTTCAAAAAGATGAAGAGCTACACTATAACATAATTGCCACAAAGCAGCTAAATTTATCTGAAACAGAAAAAAAAAATGGTTTCTGCAGACCCAAATAGAACTGGGAACCAGGACAGAAGCAAAGCTCTACAAGTACCCTCTGTTTCCTCTGCTAGATTGTAAGCTCTAACAAGCAGGGCCCTCGGTTTCTTCTTCTACCAAATTGTATTGTAACTGTAATGTCTACCTTCATTTTGCAAAGCGCTGCACAAACTGTTGGCACTATATAAGTCCTGTATAATAATATTAATACAGTACAGCAAAGTTAGTAACTGGCTCATTAAATTATGGCTGTAGGAATATGGAAGGCTTGTATCGATGTGTTCCATATTTCCTCAGCCCCACAAGCACCTGTGTGCAACACAATGTTATCCTCCTGTAATTCTCTGTAGGTCAGCAGTGCATTAGGTGCCCTTACAACACTTTCCATATTAACAAAAACTAAAAGCTGGGTTTCTGTTAAAAAGGTTTCTAATGGCCCAAATATGAATGGAATTAATGTAAGACACTGCCAGAGCTCCCTGAATATACATTTTCTCTGTGCAAACTAACTACAGGCATACCTCGATTTATGAACGCTTCGGTTAACGCAATTTTTGGTTTACGAATGAAAATCCGTTGAAAAGAATGCCTCGATTTACGAATTTTTCACAATACAAAAACGGATTAATTGGTTTTCAAAGCACTTAGGAATTTTTTTTTTTAATCATGTCCCTGTACAGTACTATGCCTTTAAAGTGAAACTTTATAAAGAGCTTTGAACAGATAAGACTTTTTTTTTTACTTTTTTCTGACCTCCAGAACAGATTATTTATTATTTATTTCAGGTACTTATATAGCGCCATCAGTTTACGCAGCGCTTTTTATATATATATATATATATATATATATATATATTGTACATTCACATCAGTCCCTAACCCTCAAGGGGCATACAATCTAAAGTCCCTAACTCACATCCATATATACACATACTAGGGCCAATTTAGACAGGAGCCAATTACCTACCAACATGTCTTTGGAGTGTGGGAGGAAACCGGAGCACCCGGAGGAAACCCACGCAGTCACAGGGAGAACATGCAAACTCCAGGCAGGTGGTGCCGTGGCTGGGATTCGAACCAACGACCCTAGTACTGCCAGGCGGAAGTGCTAACCATTTAGCCACTTAATTGGTTTTCAATGCATTCTTATGGGAAACTGCGTTTCGGTTTACGAATTTTTCACAATACGAAAAGTCCCACAGAACGCATTAAATTAGTAAACCGAGGTACGTCTGTATATAAGAGAACATTGCAGAAATATCAACACACCATACTTGCACAGCACACAACTATTGAAACAGCTTTAGACTGTGCAATCGCAAAACTGGTGAAATTCTCTTTAATCATGCAAAAAATAATTACTCATTACTGTGAAGATATCTGCCATCTTTGCAAAGTCTACCTTTGTCTCCTTATGTTCCTGATCAAAATACACCCTTTTCCTTATAGAACATAGTCACAATCTATAGACATAACAAGGAAATCCCCTACATGCTCAGCATTAATCAATCAATGCATTACATGCAAGCTGAGTGTCAGACCTAAACCAAAAAGACGGAATAACAAAATTTTGCTATGCTGTTCCAACAATGCTTACAACACTGATAAGTGGCATTATAAACATTGTGTGGACAGGCTATGCATGTTCTTGGACTGTGCACGGTCTGTGTGTTCTGTGAGTGCTCTCCTGAGCAGTGAATTCAGTGGTATGTGGGCCTGAGAGTGTCCAGCTATGTATGAACCATCCACTATGGCTAACTATAAATGAGAGATGCTGCTCTGCAAGGAAGAGCAAGGGGAGAAATAACACTGAGCTGAGGGAGAAGGTGTGTGATCACTGAAGATGTAAACCTGAATAGGGGGAAGGTCCCTATTTTTTTCCATATTACACAGGGTATACCTACAGATCTATATCTGCAGCAGTAGGAGAATGTAGAGACATTTTGGTTGTCAGCAGGCCAAGAATAATACTAAACAGATTTGAAAAAAGGTGTGAGAAGCTGAAAAAACAAAAAGGAGGTTGAGGATTTTGAAAACATAAGCTCAAGGGAACTTACCTGTCTTGTTTTAGCAGAGGTTTCTATGAATGGAATCCCATAACTCTTTGCTAGCTCTTGTGCTTGTTTTGTGTCCACTGTCCGTGATGGGAGGTCACATTTGTTACCAACTAATACCATAGGCACATCATCAGAATCTTTTACTCGATTGATCTGTTCTCTACAGATTACAAAAAAAGATCAAAGCTGTTATTTCCAAGCGAATAAGGTCTCAGTCTATTTAAACACTGGCATTCAATTTTATTTTGATAGATGTTGGTGAATATAATCATCCACTGCTTTCTTGGATCTCTTCTCTGTCCACTACTACATTTATAGCCAAACTTAAACCATCTAGGTACATTCTAGAGATGCCTCAAAACAAAAATTTAAAGACAACAGCACTGCAGGAAGGATTCCCCCATCAACATGATGGGGGAATCAAGTGATTTTATTTTCTTCCTCCCATGGTGGAAGGGAAGAAAATTGCATACTCTATGGGCTGCTTTAGAAAGCAGCCACATCTTGCATACAAAAGCCTATTGTATAGCATATCCCTAAAAGCAGCTAGGAGCTTTATGTGCAATTACATCTCAACACCACTGCAGAGCTACGGAAACGGTCACTGCTTTGTACAGATGGGGCGGCCGAAACTATCCATATCCACGTGTACATCCAGCTGCAGGAGGGGAAACCGGAGGCAAGGAAGGCGTCGAGAAAGTAAGAGATTGCTTGAGTTGCCCCCCTACCCCATCCCACTCGAGCTAACCCCCCACAAGATATATACTTTTTTTGCTGGGTATACCAACATGTTCAAAAATCACTCTTCCCTTGCTGCTATTGGCATTGGCCCAAATGGTAGTTGCATAGCTTTCTTTTTTCTCGCAGTTTTGGAATATTGATGGAAAGGGTTTAAGAGTTGTTCAAAGTTCTACAACACTCTCGATAAAATAGCCTTAAGTCATGCCATTAAGCTCAATTGTCTTTCAAGCAGGTGTGATTTTTCTCCAGAAGCTCAGTAATTTCATTATGTCCTTCCACAACTATGCAGGGATTTGTGGATATTACATACATTATTTGGGTCCTGTACTACTATTTGAAATGACTAGAATGTAATAAAATCATCAGCTGTGTTTAACATATCAGCAGTCATACACCTTCATACTTATGTCAAACACAGAATTTTTGAAAGTGAAAAAAAATTGAGAGAAGCTAAAGGCAATGGGCAAACTAATATATATGCCTCTAACGGACCAGCAATGGGCAAACTACGGGACCTTTTAATCCGGCGGACCTTTTAATCCGGACCCCGGCGGACCTTTTAATCCGGCCCCCGCGGAGCGGAGCTAGGCTCTCGCTAGGCTCCTCTCACAGTCCGCCCTGAAGACCGGTGTAGCATGAAAATCTGTCTCCTATGAGGATCTGTCCCCCTCAACGTATCTGCGCATGTGCCGTAGAACGCCGATCGGCTGCTAATGCCTGAAACTGGCACATGCGCAGATACGTCGAGGGGGACAGATCCTCATAGGAGACAGATTTTCATGCTACACCCGAACGGCGCGGGAACGCGGCGAGAGGAACGCGCGGAGCAAAGGTAAGTGAATTGACACAGGGGGGACTTGGGGGCTTAATATGGGGGATGAATTACTATAGGGGGGATGAATTACTATAGGGGGGATGAATTACTATAGGGGGGATGAATTACTATATGGGGGATGAATTTCTATATGGGGGATGAATTACTATGCTTACTATGGGGGAATATTACTATACTTACTATGGATGACACATACACATTATTCATCTACTCTTGGTCCGGCCCCCGGGTCCAATATATGAACCCATTGCGGCCCTCAAGTCAAAAAGTTTGCCCACCCCTGCTCTAACCTGTAATGATGGACGTCCTCAAAGGACTTTGTGTTATTATTAATAGCAAAGACACACAGAAAGCCTTCTCCGGTTCGCATGTACTGATCCCTCATGGCACTATACTCCTCTTGACCTGCAGTGTCGAGAATATCCAGCAGACATGTTTCACCATCTATCACAACCTGCTTTCGGTATGAATCCTGCAGTTGTAAAAAGGAAGAGAAAAAAATAAAAATACACACTAAAATCTAGGATTACCTTCACATCTAGGATTTGTTCCAATGCGGTCATTCTTTAAGTAACCTTAGTATACCCCAAGCTATTTAAAGTGTATCTATACCCAAAACATTGCTTTTCGTTTTGCAGAGTTGTAATGGCGGTGGTCAGGTTTTACTAAGTCAGAGGCTCCGCCAGGGAGGTTCCTGCATTTCCTGTCTGGTAGAAGGGTTCTATTATTTTACAAAGACAGTGAGTCTGGGTTCAGTGGTACACTGATCAGCCATAATATTATGACCATTGACCGGTAAAGTGAACATTATTTTGTTACAATGGCATCTTAACTGGGTGGGATATATTCTGCAGCAAGTGAACATGTCCATAAAGTGGATGTATTTAAAGAAGAAATAAATGAGCAAGCATTATCCTGAGAGGCAAGGGTCAAATTGTCAATGGCTAGATTACTGGGTCAGATAATCTCCCAGACAGCAGCTCCTGTGGAATGTTCCCTGTCTGCAGGGGTAAGGACCTACAAAACGTGGTTTAAGGAAGGAAATCTGGGGAACTGGCAACAGAGTCACAGGTGGCAAAGGCTCACTGATGCACGTGGGGAGCAAAGGCTGGCTTGTGTAGTCCAATCCAATAGAACAGCTATTGTAGCTCAAATTGCTGAAAAAATTAAAGTTGGTTCTGACAGAAAGGTGTCAGAACACACAACGCATTGCAGTTTGCGAGTATGGGGCTGCAAGGCACCAACAATGGGAACCTTGGCATCAAAACTGGACCACATAGCAATGGAAACAGGTGGCCTGGTCTGATGAATTTAAGAATGGTTTGAGGAACACAACAATGAGATTGATGTATTGACTTGGCCTCCAAATTCTCCAGATCACAATCCAACAGTGCATCTGTGAGATGTTCTGGAAAACTAAGTCCGACCCACAGAGGCCCCAGCTCGCAACATACAGGACTTAAAAGGATCTGCTACTGACATCTTGATGCCAGATGCCACAGCATACCTTCAGAAGTCTAGTGGAGTCCATGCCTTGACGGATTATGGTGGGTGGTCACAATGTTATTTTTGGATTGGTGTAAAATAGCTGATTGCATAAGTAAACACCCCTTTATTATGGCACGCTTAATTCATTGTTGGTGCAGCAAGTTTTTTGCCTTTGATAAGGCATTTCGAGCGGTTATCTAAATTTAAGTATGTCTGTAGGGTCCAACTTTTACTTAGTCAAAATTGTGAAGGTAAAACAAACACTCCAAGCAACTCAGTAAAGCAAGTTAAAGCCTAAGTGTAGCCAAAATAAAAACATACAAAATCAGCACAAGGGACATAACTTACAGTCAGTAGGATCTCTGAATAAAGGGCTATCAATCAATCAAGCAGAGAGTGGTGGCTGACAGTCCCGCTCTCTGCTCAGACTGGATGTGAGAACTCAGCGCTTTGGTGAGAGGCCGAGCCAGGTGCCGCTCCAGACTCTGGGATTTTTTCCCTAGCCTGGACTGGCTGAGTGACATCAGCCAACAGCAGACTTCAGTCCGCTGTCAGCTGAAAATGAACAGAATGAACTGCACTCCTGTGATCCCTAGGAGAAGTACAGCCAAAAAAGCTTTGGTTGTACTTCTCCTTTAACAAGCACAAAAAAAGAGGACACATACAGGGATACAAGAAATTAATTAGTCTCAAACCATCCCTTTGGGATACATGGCTTTAACTTATTTAAAAGTATGTATGCATTTAAGTGGAAGTCCACTGGGGCATGGTTTTGTATTGCATAGGATTACTCAATATGACAGCAAATTTTGAGAAAGGTTTTTTTTTTTTTTTTTAAACCTTTACCAAAGTTTTATGTATATATTTCTTTAGGTGCAATAAATTGTATTGAGATAATGCCCCATGCAGTTTTTCTTTTTTGATATATGTTGGTAATAAACAAAAGAGCAGTCTAATTGAGTCCCAAACTCAATTTTTTGTTGTTGGATAAAACAAGAAACTATCAAAGTTGCTGGATATCTCAGAGTACAAATTAAATAATGTGATCATGTGGCCAGGCTATGGACATAATGGATTTGCATATTACTGAAAAGCTACAACTGAGCTTTAAAAAGCCCTCCCTTGACCTCTGTAGCTGTAGGCACTGTGGATCAAATTATTTATTTATTTTTTTTAAGAGGACCGTCACTCAAAAGTGAAAAAAGTACCACAAAGCCTTCTCTTCATCCCTGCCAATACATCAAGAACGGTTCATCAGGAGGTCACAGCTGGCTACCAAATCCTAGATGGCAGCACTGGAGTCCAGAAAATTAAAAAATATAAAATTTTATGGGTGCAGTCCACAGTTTGCACAGCAGCCAGCATGCTCCTCCTTCCAAAGCACAGAGCAATCCCTCCACATTTACAATAAGAGCAAAATACTGACACTGCTAGGAAAGGGAATAGAGAGAGTTGCTGTATCACTGCTGAGCGAGTGGGGGTGGCGTTTGGGGGGATGCAATGTTCAATTATAATAAACATACAATCTTCTAATCTAAGGGGGTGAATACCTATAAGTATTTTATTTGTTCCATTGCATAATCTGCAGGCCTTGCTTTCTGCTAGGTGATGCTGCCTAACGGAAGTGTTTTATAGTTCTCCCAAAATGCATCCACCAGAGCAGCTGATGCATATTTATTCCAAGCAGATGAAGCGGAACTCTAGGCGAAAACACACAGAAAATTATTAACTGCCAAAGAATCTGTACAGTACATCCCAGGACAACTTTCTATCCATTACAATAGGGTTATGCTGCCACATTCAAGTGGTTGGACAATGGCAAAAAGAAAAAAAAAAAGGCAATAATCCCCTCCCAGGCATAACCCCTCCCTGCTAGGCACAGCCTCAGTGTTTTGAAGTGTTTTTGACAGTCATGTTTGTGCAGTCTATACACATTTACTTTTTCTTAAAATTCTTGATGGGAACAGGAGACGGCTATAGCCAGATCTATTTTTTACGGCCTAAAGCCAAGAGGAATGGTACCCAGACCCCATGATTGATATGCAAGGATGGACTGTAATGTTGCCATTCAGCACTGCACCCTACACAATTCCATTATGTCTGGTGAACTGAAAGGGTATTATACAGGTCCTGGGTGGTGCTCCCCAGCTGAAAAGTCATGCCCCTGAAAACTGTACTGATTTGCCTGCTGAGAGGGGTGAAGTTTGAACTTCCTGGGGGTCCTGCAGCGAGAACGTGGGTGTCCATGACTGGGGTCCCTCTGGTGACTGTACCCTGGATGGAGAAGAGAGGCACACAGTTCCAGAGGCACAGGGTGCTCAGTGATGCAATCAAGGCTTCTAGTTGGATCACTGAAATAGAGGGCAGTAATCTCCCTCTAATGTCTTATCCCCATCAACCCCAAAAATGTAAGTAAACTAAGGTCTTTATTATGCATCTTCCAAAAATGTTCAGAACACTATGCTTTTTATATCCCTTTCTTGATATCATTATGTTTTCCAAAGCAAAAACACTCAATTTTCTAATAGATCTCCCTACATAATGGAGTCCATGTTGGTACCACGGTACATGTGTGTCACATGTGTGGTGGAAAGTGGACATTATAAAGCATCTTATCTATTAAATATTAATCCACAGTGCGCTGGAAGATTTTATGTAAAAAGCAGGACTAATTTAGTAAGCACCACCTTGAGCAGGAGCTGTTGTACGCACTGGATACTTTTTTCTAACTGCAATAGTTTGCACATTTTGTGTTTTACACTTTACCATACTGATTTTTGTCATTTTATTTTGTCACTTTAACTGTCTGTTCAGCTGTTTTGCACATTTTTTGATATACACCGGTTGTGTATTTTGCAGTTTCATTCCCATCAAACTACACAGTTTGGAACTATTGTAGCTCACTATAAGAACATTGTGAATGTTACACAAGGTTTAAAATATGTGTCATCACAAGTGTAGCACAGGTATATGAGATATAGGTGTTCGTTGCATAAAGATTTTGGAGTAAATTAGGCGCTGGTCCACAGAATGCACAGCTGCCAGAGGTGTAAACTGCTGTATTTTCCTCTCTGACAGCTGTCTGTTGTGGCTGCAGTAGAGGGCAGTGTGGTGAGCGATTCAGCGCATATAACACAGCTCCCTTTTTTTGTATTCGTACAAACTTTAAGTATACAGAAAACATACACTTATAAAATTCATGGCGCTGTACAGCAGCATGATGCGATAAAGTGCAGCATGCTTGTATTTTAGCACAGCCTCAGGCTGCGTTGCAGTGTGAATGGGACACACAGGAAACAATTGTTTGGTGTGTTGTTGCTGTGACAGACGTTTTACAGTAAGACACCTGTCACTGCACTATGTCTGAAATACCCTTTGTGCTGCATCACACACACACACACACTTTTTGATAATCACAGGATATTCTGATACAGCTGGTGGGTCAAATGAAGTACTTATCTGGTGCAGATATAACACATATTACGTGTATTCTGGGGAAGATGGTCACTTTCTTCAAGGTGGTACCATTTGCCCGGTTTAATTCCAGAGCTGTTTAACGGAATGCCTTGTTAGCATTGGACACAGTTACTGGATTCTATAATGTGTCTGAACCCAAACAAATAACTGTCACTCGATTGGTGGATCTCCATACAAATGTTGCAGGTGGACAAACTGTTCCTTCCACTGTCCAGGAGAGCCCCAACAACAGATGCCAGCCTCTTGGTTCAGGGCACTTGATTGAAGGGAAGAAAGTTGCCCATCAACATCTACATAGCTCTTCTGCATTGGTAGGGATACCCCAAGAGGTCTCCCAGTGCAAATTTTCTTGGACGTTACCATGGTGGTGAACATTAATCACCAATAAGGAACAAGAAGTCGTGTGGTTTGTTTCCTCCTGATCTAAAATCTGGTTTAGGATGAAAAACGTTCCTGCCCTACTATACATATTCCCAGTGTAAACAATTGGAAGCCAGTATTCCTCAGCAGACATCGGATCCCTGGGGATTTGGCTATTCACAAGTAGGTGCTTGAAGCAAAATGCAAAACTGGAGAGATCTGTGTCCAGGACTAGGGATCTACGTTTGACAGATGCCTCAGTGACTTTGTGTGATCAGTCTCCCCCAATTTATTATTGCCTCTGCTGCAGCTTCTGCCCTGGATGCTTCACAGGATAAGGTTATAAAGGGATTCTGGTGATGTCCTGCCCTGGCCAAGGAAGACAAGATATGCTGACATTGTAAACTTGTCTGTGGACAAGCTGTGGACTCTTCCGGATTGACCCAACCCTCCTTTGGCAGGTTCTGATATTTCATTCTGCTTCACAGCCACTGGATTTAATGGATTGTCTGTTGAAGTCAGGGTCCTGAGATGCAGGAGTGTACGATCCCTATGCTTCTTAGGTATAAGCAGGCAACTTCACAGATTTAAGATCAGACGTGGATGTTTTTCTTTTGCGTTGTGTGAGGTACATAAACTTCATCCCTACAAGTACATCATGTGACAAGTTCTGGTCTCTCTCAAAATCGGGAGTGGACAAAAGTTTGGCACCAAGTACCATTTGTGGAACCTTTGCTTGCAGGGTTTTGGAGTTGGCCATTTTTGTTTGCAAGAAACCTGTCTTGGTAATTCATTGAGATAAAATTGGTCTTATGATCTCAGCAGCCTTTTTTGCCCAAACTACGTATTAGTATTCGTATAAGACGACCCCCCTACTTTTCCTGCATGGGCTATACTCGCAGACTACCCCTCTTCCAATGCACACCAGTGGGAGGAATAGTGCCCCATCATTGATGTCAGTTAGTGCCCCATCATTGATGTCAGTGGGAGGAATAGTGCCCCATCATTGGTATGTGGGGGGAATAGGTGCCCCATCATTGGTATCAGTGGCAGGAATGGTGCCCCATCATTGGCATCAGTGGGAGGAATAGTGACCCCATCATTGGATCAGTGAATAGGTGCCCCATCACTGGTCATCTGGCAGGAATAGTGCCCCATCATTTTAGGTGCCCCATCATTGGTATCAGTGGCAATAATCATTGGTGTCAGTTGGTGCATCAAGGGGTGGAATAGTGCCCCATCATTGGTTCAGTACATCTTGGTGTCACTGGGGGGAGGAATAGTGCCCCATCGTTGGTGTTGGGGGGGGGAATAGTGCCCCATCGTTGGTGTCAGTGGGAGGAATAGTGCCCCCATCGTTGGTATCAGTGGGAGGAATAGTGCCCATTCATTGGTATCAGTGACACCAATGATGGGGCTCTATTCCTCCCACTGAGACTTGCTGATATAGTGCTGCTGCAGCCAGCATATTGGTTGCAGCAGCTACACAGAGCACTTCCCTGCTGCTCCGGCACTCAATTTTCCAGCGGGGGGCCGCTTCGCCGGTGATTGCCTGTGTGCCTTTCCTGAGCTACAGTTCTTCACCGGTGAGGAGGCGGAGCCGCGCAGCCGCACGAACATCCAGTGGCCGAACTGAAGGAGACGCCGCGCTTCCTGGACCGGATCGTCGTGGGACTGATCCACGTCAGCCCCTGCAAACCCCTGTACTTAATCGCAGCCCCCCCTAACATTTGTACCGGCGTATCTGAGAAGATTTTCAAGGGTCAAAAAGTCGTCTTATACGCCGGCAAATACGGTAGTTTCTTTATTCCATCACAGCCCTTCTTTCTGCCCCAATCTTAAGCAAACGGAATATTGAGCTTTTCATACCTTGGATGAGTGGTTTGTGCGGTAAACATTTACCTAAATTTGACTGCATCGACTTGAAAAACTTCATTCTCGGTTTGTCCTTCTGGATGAACCAACAAAGGAGCATGCTGCTTCAAAATATACCATTTCTAGGAGAGTCCATCAGCATATTTTTCTGGCTTACAGCCTTAAAGGAAGAGTTCTGCCATTCCCTGTAATGGCTCATTCTACCAGGAGTGTTGGTGCTTTCTGAGCTATTCACACTCAAGCTTCTGCAGCTCAAGTTTGTAAGGCTGCTGTTTGGTCTTCAGTTCATACCTTTACAAAGTTCTATCAGGTAGATGTTCTGGCCTCTGTGGATGCTTCCAATGGTGGAAGGTGTTGCAGGTGTTGGTCTAAAGTTCTAACCTATTGTGACTTTGTTTTTTGGGGCCTGTTGTCTTCCCCCGCATATTCAGTTCTTTGGGACATACCTATTGTAATGGATATGCATATGCCCTGGGTGCTTGGATGTACAATAAAGAAATAATTATTTATGGTTTACTTGTGAAATTCTTGTCCTGGGAGTACATCAGAGGGATCTCACCTCCATCCTATGTTGTACATGGCTTGCTACAAAACTGAGGTTGTGCCTAGCGGGGAGGGGATTACTGTCTGTCTTTTTTGGGAGTGTCCAATCACCTGAAGGTGACAGCATAACTATGGTAATGGATATGAAGATGCCCTATGTCCTGGGATGTACTCAAAGAAAAGGATTTTACATGTAAATCAAAAATCACATTTTTATACAGCCAGTCTTGCCATTTACATAATTTCTGCCACACCATACAACCTTGGATGTGATGCCTGGCTCAGTAATACAGATTAAGATGTTAAATTTCCACCCTCAAATCTGTTCACTTAGGTTCACTGACCAAAGACATTGTGAGCTTGGAATCAGATGGTTTTATGTGGGCACTTAAGCTCATATCAAACCATTTGTTTTCAAATTTGCAATGTTGTTTCTGTGCAGAGCAGAAAAAAAAGATTGCAATGAAGCACTATAGAGGGGTTTTTATGCACATTTATAAGTTAGCCTAAATCTATGAAAAGCCATAACAAATAAATGTTCTGCTCACCTCAATAGTGGGATCATACTCATCAACAAAGTGGTTCTGTATGAGCTGGATGGTCAGAGCACTCTTGCCCCACGCCTCCAGCACCAACCACGACCAGTTTATATTCAGTCATTTCACTTGCACAGATCCTGTCTAAAGCAAAAAAAAGATAAAATAGAAGTTAAAATGTGTCAACAGATCACTTTATTATTAATTAAAAAGAAACTTTAGTTTAGTTTAAAGCAGTATTAAACCCAAAAAGCAAAAAAAACATTTATGGTCTTGCAGCATACCAATTCTCAGATGCGATGGCTGCATTAGTAATCTTTTTTAGGCGTTCTACTATTTTCATCTGGTGAACCAGCCAGCAACTCTTATTTTTCAAAAGCTCAAGCTCTCTAGCAGAATGTATCAGTTTACACAGATAAGACAATCCATTTACCACTGGCAGGGGTGATTAACATTATCAGCTTTTATTTATTCATGTAAAACCTTTAACCCAAAAGAAAAACAAAAACAGTTTGCTGTAACTGATTATAAAGTGTTAGCTGGAGTTTGGCTTCAATCTGCTATTGTATATTGCATTCAAATCTGCACTCCCCTGCCTCCCAAACTGAAAATGCCACTGTCTGCTGTGCTCCACTAATACAGAAGGTGTGTTACTGGCCAGATCACCAGGTGAAAACAGAGGCAAAAAGAAAAAAAAAAAAAAAAAAAAAAAAAAAAAAAAAAAAAAGAAGATACAGCTACCACATCTGATGATCCAATAGGATACATTTTTGGTTTGAGGTTTACATTGTTACCAAACCCACAACGTAAAATCAGCCTGCATATGCAGTAAAGGATGCTTGTTGTACTCACTGTGGTACCTAAGGGGTTAGTCCTCTGCATTGTGTAAAAATGCCATTTGATCCTGTATTATCTGATCCTCCCCTTCTTCCAATACACCCCCCTCATCTCCTAAGCCATATCATGAGGAGTCACTCTCCGCATCCTCAGTTTGATATGTATTGCTACAGATTTTTTTTTTTTTCTTCGTCGGCGAGTGCATGTGATCAGCGCAGGGCCAATCAGCAGTGTCCAGACATAGGTCAGGGGTCCCACATTCTCCTAGAGCAGAATGAAAACTCCTCCTACAAGCTTTAACATGTGCTTTGCTGAACACTGACTTCAGTGGTTATACCAGGATGATGCCACCGGATAACCATAGAGCTGATCAGAGACTGGAATGGTTCTGATCATCTCTATGGTCTAAGAAACCAGAAGCAAAGAGTATTTAGTAACTTCTGGTTTTGCTGGTTATAAACAAACCACTACTAGTCTAGGGGAAAAAAAAAAAAAAAAAAGTATTGGATCACACCGATTGTGATATGATCCGAAGCTTTAGGGCAAAAAGATTTGGGGTCTAATAGGTCCCAGATCTCTCAGTAAAAGGATACCTGTCACTGCCCATGCTATTACAAGGGATGTTTTTAATCCCTTGTGATGGCGATAAAATTATAAAAATAAAAAAATTAAGAGCCCCTGTTTCTCCTTCGTGCTCGCACACAAAGGCAAACACGCATGCCAGTCTTGTGTTGGTACGTAAACAGCGATCACACCACACATGTGAGGTATCACTGCAAACATCAGATCGAGAGAAATAATTCTAGCACCAGACCTCCTGTGTAAATCTAATGGCAACATTCCAAAAGGCACACGCAATTTTAAAGTGTGACATATTTGGTATCTATTTACTTGACATAACATTTATTTTTCCAAACAATATTAGTTTATGTTAAAAAAAAAATTAAAATTTTTAATTTTAAATATTTTCTTTTCAAAACAATTTTTTTTTTAAACATACTATCATCAATAGTGCAGTACAGCATCTTGACTGGTGCGGCACTGATCAAGGACACTGACTGGTGACAGCATGTTGGAGAAAAAAAAAAAAAAAAAAAAAAAAAAAAAAAAAACCAACAACACCACCACATACAAAAAAACAAAAAAAAAAAAAGTCGGTATCGCCAATGAGTGCCACAACAGTCAGAATACGTTGTATTGTGCTGACTGCTTGCTTACTTTCCAAAAGGGTCATTTGGGAGGTATTTGTACTGTCCTGGCATTTTAGGGTCTAAAGAAATGAGATGCTACACCCCAAGTTGTCATCAGTACATCAGAATTCATTAATTTTCAAAATATATTTGTCATAGTTTGTAGACGCTATAAAAACTCTTTCACACAAACCAATTTATATGCCCTTATTTGTTTTTGTTTTTTTTACAAAAGACATGTAACAGAATACATTTTGGCCTAAACTGATTAAGACATTTGATTTTATTGGATATGTTTCACAGCAGAAAGTAGAATTTTTTTTCCTCAAAATTAGTTTTTTTCGTCTACACAATAAAAATTAAAAAAAAAAAAAACTGTGGTGATCAAATACCACCAAAAGTAAGCTCCGTTTGTGTGAAAAATGACACATTTTATTTGGGTTCAGTGTTGTATCACCAAGCAATTGCCAGTTAAAGTAGCACAGTGCTGAAAAGCAAAAAAAAATGGCCTAGTCGGGAAGGGGGTAAAATCTTCCGAAGGGCAAGTGGTTAAACCTCAGTTATCCAGGGTCTGGGGTTTTCTAGTCTAGTCATGGTGAAACCAAAAATGTCAATATCAAAAAAGATAAACAGAGCTCTTAGGCCCTCAGAAAGGAAGCTGTTGATGCCAAATGGGTCTGGCAATAAAAATATTGCCAAATTATTTGAATTTGAGTAAATGGGTTAATGGCTGATTATTTTTTTGTTTTTAATGGAGTGGTTTGGTTTTTAGTAGTGGTGCACCGAAATGAAAATTCTGGTGCCGAAACCAAAAATTCAAAATGCACTTGGTCGAAAACTGAAATGCTCAGTTTTTAAAAATGAATATATATTTTTTGGGAAAAAATGCACTTTGATTAAAAAAAACAAACAAAAAAAAAAAAAAAAAAAAAAAACCACAAACACTATATACCCCAGTTTTTTGTGAAATAAAAAAGAGGCTGTCATATCGAGTAAATAGATACCCAACATGTCAAGCTTTAAAATTGCGCAGACTTGTGGAATGGCCTCAAACTGCGGTACTTAAAAACTTCCATGGGTGATGCTATAAAAAGGTCTACAGGTTAGCAGTGTAATGTTACAGAGGAGGTCTAGTGCTAGAATTATTGCTGTGATGTTCGTGTCGATACCTCATGTGTGTGGTTTGAACACCATTTACATATGGGGGCATGGGCTACGTATACATTCACCACTACGTGTGAGCACGGGGGGGATGGGGGGCACTTTAAACTTTTTTTTTTTAATTTAATGTTTTTTGTACTGTTTTAAAAAAAAAAAAAAAAAATGTAATCACTTTTTTCTTATCACAAGAAATGCATGCATCCCTTGTGATAAAAATAATTCGTGACAGGTGCCTCTTTATGGAAAAAATATGGGGTCAATAAGATCCCACATCTCTCCTCTGCAATGTAAAGCACTGGATCAAAAAAAAAAAAAAAAAAAAAAAAAAAAGGGCTTTGATCTAGAGTTTTAACAAACAAAAAAAAAAAAAAAAAAAAAAAATGTCCAGAACCGGAAGTGACATTGCTCCAGTCCTCCAAAGGCATAGAGATGAGTGGAGGCCATCTTTTCTTCACTTATCTCTATGCCCAGCACCGGGATCGTTGGATGGTTTCTCAGGTAAGGCTGAGAACTACTGAGCAGCAGTGGCAGACAGGTGGGTTTTTTCCAACACCTATATCAATGCTTTTATTTTTTTTCATTTTGGCAGACGGCCGAAAAGGGCGATTTCGGTGCCTAGTTTTTAGCAAACATGTCAATTGTAACCACAGTCAGTATTTTAGGAGCAAGACCTTAAAACTGTGAAGAATGGTGGTGGCAATATTGTGGCTCGGGGTTGCTTCAGGGACTGAGCAGCTTGAATTCAAACATACATTCTGTATCATATCAACATTTAATAAATTAATTTTAATATATTAAATCTGCTTTAAGTAATGTCTGGGGTTTTTTAAAAACAAAAAAAGGGGCTTTATGGTGACTGAAACGTTTAATATTTTTAACATTGCACGGTTTATCTCCTCTTCCCCTACCTGCCTCTCTCCAGCACCGCACCCGGGGACTAACGGGGAGGAGAGAGACCTTGCAGTGTAATGAGCACTGATTGGCTACTCATCAGGAAAGGGGAGTGTCCGGCTTATCCTTTATACATTTCATTGCCAGAGCTGTTTTTGTGTTATTTGCACTAGTTAAAAAAAAAATCGTTTTAGGTCTGAAGATGACACAAACCCCCCAAACATTGTATATTTTCTGAAAGCAGAGACCCTAGAAAATAAAATAGCGGTAGTTCCAATTTTTTATGCCACACAATATTTTCACAAAGGTTTCAGTAAAAAAAATACTTAATTTTAGGGGACAAAAAGCAATAAATTATCAATTTTGTTTGTAAAATATAAAAGACGAGGTTGCAGCGTGTAAAAAGATATCCAACATGTCAAACCTTAAATTTACATGCGCTCGTGAAAAGGCAAACTTTAGTACCCTAGATTTTCTATAGGTGACACTTTTAAAGCCCTTTATACGTCATCAGTATAATGTATGGAGGCGGTCTGGTGCTAGAATTATTACTCATTCTGGCATGCGCAGCGATGTGCAACATGTGTATCGAAATCCACGTTTTCATGTGTAGGTGCCCGAGTATGTGCTTTTACATTTGTGTGTGTGTACATATGTGGGGGTGGGAGGCCTTGAAAAATTTGGGGGTGTTATATACTTGGGCGTAACTTTAATTAAAAAAAATTATTTTTTTTTTCAAATCACATATGGGACAAAAAAGACCCTGCACTTCTCCCCCTGTACTACACTGAATGTAATGCGGTGCACATCTCATTACATTATTTCCCGGCCTCAATGACCGGGAATCTGTTGAACGGGGACCCCACCAAGGGTCTGCCGTCACTTTAGACTGTTATTACGAACTCTTGTTTTTATCCCCCTTTGGTTTGTGAGTATGCATGTATATGATTTTAAATAAATTTGTTTCACCACGGTAATGCAAGAAGAGAGTGCGCCGTTTTGTTTACTATTACTAAGATTTCCCGATCTTCTAAGGCAGGGCTTAAAATTTCGAGTCTAGACCTA